TTATTTGAATTGAATGAGCCGAAGTTGTAGTTGAAGTCGCAGTCGAAGTCGTAGTCGAATTCGAAGACAAAGGCAAGCTTCAGCACTTGTAATAGTTAGACACACACATACATATACTCATACACATGCACATGCGCATACATATTATCCTCAGGCGCTGGTAAATTCACACAGTTTTTCAATGAAGCTGCAGTTAAACAGCGCAGCCAAAAACCGCAGCGGTTGTCGGCAGAGCTGCTGCACTTTACACTAGGCTTCAACGTATATGTGTCTGTGAGTAGAGTCAAAAGCGAAGATGAGAAGGCAATTACAAAATTCATAAACACAATACGCTCGCTCTCAGCGCAGTAGTTATTTTCGCTCTCTCTCTGTTTCTCTCTCCAAGTCCTACACACAGTGCTGTATGGAATGCTAGCTGAGAAAAAATATATAAAGCTTCCATCAAATGAACCGCAACTGCTTCGCATCATTGTGGGCGTCATCAAAGTTGCCGTTCACTTGCAATGTGGGCGGCTGAGACTGTGACAGCGACCGCGACTGCGACAGCGGCAGCGGCAACGATAGCAGCAGCCACTGCGGCAGAGGCGGGTGGCTGCTTAGTGGCGTGCCTTAGTGGCATTTGTGTCATTTGAAGTTAATTGCTGGGAACGAACGAGAGGCCGCACAACGTGGCTGTGACCGGATTTGTGTCACTCTTAAGGTTAACTTGTAATTATGATTATTGCATTGCCATTTGTCTAGCTGAAGCTGGTTCTTGGTTTCTTCTCTTCTTCTGTCCATGAATATCGAAACTTCCAGCAATTAAGCAGCCAAGGAAGTCAAAAGCTTTTACACAATACCAAACTCACTCTGTCCGTTAGATGTTAACCTTATTATTTTTCAACAAATTAATCAATGTGGGCAACAAAGAAGGCAGCTTACTTGACCCTAACTGGAGAGTGCGAAGAGTTGAGCGCACCAGGTTTTCCGTTTTGTGGTTGTTTTCGTCAAAAAAAGAAAAAAAATTTAGCGTCAGCTTTTTTTCCAACAGCAGCGCAGAAGCTTCCAGGGCAGCCCAGGCCAAAGCCAAGCTTCAGCCGAAGCATAGCCATAATGGAGTGTGAGAAAACTGACTGAGAGAGTCGTTCAGCGCTTACCGTTAGCTGTTAGGCGAGCGCTGCATTAAAAAGGGCGCGCTCATTACGTGTAGAAAAAAAAGCACAAAAACAAAAACAAAAATGGCTGCCAGTTAATAGCAACAACAATAGGAAACGGGAATGTGCTATGCAGCTGGCCCAATGCATTCCAGTTGGAATAGCTTTTGGGAATCGAGCGATCCACAACTAGCAGGAAAATCTCGCGCACACACAAATAGACAGAAAACTCCGTTAAGGAAAACCAACTTAGTCTCACTTTTTGGGCTTCACATCTTTGGCTAGTTTCACTGAGCCACGTTGGGCCTGGAATTCAGGTCAAGCATTTTAATGCGTTGCAGCTTAGGGAGCCCTCTCATATTTTTTTAGTATTTATGTTGGCAACAAAGTTTGCTGTGGCCATTCCCTTTACAGTTAGGCACAGATACATAATTTACACAATCATCTGCATATTTTTTAGGTGTAACATAGAAATGGGGGTTATCTAACAACCCAAAGTTGATAGATCTGAGTTATATTAAAGATAAAAAGTATTGCTAACCTGAAATTATATTTAATGTTTTAAATAATTCATAATTTACTGTTTTTATTTCGAAAATAATCGGCAGAAAATCAAATGACAATTGCTCCACTGTATGGACTAGCAGCAAACATAGCAAGAAGGAAATTTAAGTTTGGAAAATGGGAATAAATATATATCCCACCTTACAATAAAATTCCTGTGGCCTGCATGCATTTACCCAATTACTGGGAATTATCGAATGGCTGACTAAAAGACCAGACGTATGCTAATTATAACTCTCCAAATGATCCAATGAGGTGCGTCATTCCACAGGCGAAGCCATTTAATTTAATTCAAATCTTATGCGTTTCATATGTTTTAGCATCCATTCGAAATCGAAAATAACAATAAACAAATTGGGTCTAGAGATTCCTTGATGGGCAAGTTGACCAATGGGGAAACCAGTTTAGCCAAGCTTCAGCAAAAAATCCGTATTATAAACAAGCCAAAACGAAAAGCATATAGACTGCTCGTCTAGCAAATACCCTATGTAAATATATATTATATAACAGCTTTACGCTTTCAAATAAGGCCAATGAAAATTAGACTACAACAAATATTTCGATAAAATATTAAATATAAATATTAAAATATATAAATAACAGGGTATCAAACATGTCTATGCAAACAGCAATACATTGGAGAATCCCACGCAGAATACCTATTCTTTGTTTTTTTCTTGCTTTTGAAAACGGATTCGATTCAACGTTGACGAAGTGCACGATTTTGGTCTAATAAATAATGGGACGAGGGACGAGTGGGGCAGAGCTAGAAGGGGAGGGACGACTGGATAAATAATTGAGAGACAAACGCAAAACCCCTACGCACAGGCAACGAAGGTTGATCTACACACGAAGCAATCGATAGGGAGGTGGAGACTAAGAGAGACAGAGAGAGAAAGAAAGAGAAAAACGCCTTCATACGACACACTGTGGAGACTTTTTTTAATTAAAAGCAAATTTGGATGCCGCTAACCCACAGCAACAACAACAATAATTAAACAATTAATTTATATCAGTTGTGGGGAAAAAACAGCTCGCGCAGCCCACAAACCTGTTGATCAACGTTAGCCCAGTTATAGAGGCCATTATTTGGCTGGGCAGTACCCAGGGACTTTATCGCCAATAGAACCAATTGGAAATGTTTAAAGATACATTATTTTAAGACTGGGCTATACCCAAGTATATGAGAGTTATGCAATGCAGCTGCAGAAGCTATGAAAACTATCGAATTATCTAATTAATACTACAGGACATTGTAACAAATCCCAGTTTATATATGTGAAACAAGAGCCTGTATTTTTATAAATTATTTAGACTCATCCAATGTACTTCTATAATTTATAGAAGTTTTACGAAACCAAATGATCAACAACTAAAATATTTACCTGTTTTTATATAATTTTTCTAATAATTTTTACTTCAAATAAAATTTTTTCAACATTTCCTTTAAAGCATAAGAATCCAATGTGAAATCCCTACCTTCTTATTAACGTGCTTTTAAAAGCTACCATAATCCAATTGGACAGCGAGTCTTTAATCAGATGAAAGCTTTCATATCAGCTTTCAATTGAACGCTAATTACAGGGTGTCTATCAAATATACTATGCACACCCTTTGACGACGACAAGTTGATTCATCGTTTAGCTTGCATAATGACAGACTCTGACGAAATAAAGCTATAAAGCAATTAATTTTAATTTATATTGCAATTGTTTAGCTCTTTTAACTAGAAAGTTAAATTCCATGAAGTAAAGCCAAGTCAATAGTATTTATAATATATATATATAAATATATATCGTATTCAGTTTATATCTTTAAACTTGAATTCGTCGAATTACTTCTAGATTCCAGAATATATAATACAGTCAATTTCTTCAATTAGAGTTACGTCTAAATTGGTTTTTGATATAATATCATTTCTATCAAAGGGTAATTTGGACTAGTAGAGCAATATGATCACATTATAAGATACCCTGTTTTTATTTTTAAACTTTTTATAAATATTTTTGATTTTATTCCCAAAGTTTAAATATGCTGGAACTGTGTTCATTCAATATATAAATTATTGATTCTCTTGATCTTATAGTTCTGGAGACTTTTCTTTCTTTCTTTGTATACATACTTCTCCGACTCCCTATTACAAAAAACTGTATACCCGCCTGTTACACAATTCGTAATGCGTACAGGGTATAGAGCGAGAATGCCCAAAGGAATTTGCTGGGCATTTTGATTAACGATTCGTTAATGATCCTTGCGTTATCTAAGTCTTTGCTCGCTGTGGGTAACGCCCCAGTATTTAAATATTGAAATACCATTATAATAAATAGCATTAATTGTGGACTCCGACAGAAATGGGACGTAGGGTTCCCCCGTTTGTAAAATTTGTATGCACATAAAATTAAGCTCAAGTGTGAAGCGGGGAAAAGTCAATTTGATTTCAGTTTCAGTGAGACGCGCGCCAGCGAGCGGGGCACGCGTTCTGATCTAAAACCCGTTTTTTTTATAATGGGATGGCATTTATAAAATAGAAGTAGCGGAATGCGCCGCGTTAGAAAATTTCCCTGTTACTATTTATAGCGTAGATTGCTTAGCAAAAAAAAATCAAATTGAAAAAAAGAAAAAAAACAACAACAAAACTTCTTCGAGATGCAATCAATTTGCAAGTGATGCGAGAAGAAATAAACAAACAGAGCAGTAAGCTAAGAGCCACCCACTTGTGAAAAGAGCGAGCGGGAGAGCAGCGTGAGAGCGCAGTGTGGAGAGCGCAGCTTTATGCTGAGCATGCAATAACTGCTAGCCCAAGTAGAAGAAGCAATGCCGACGGCGGCAGAGCGAAACGAGGACGAGCAGACGCGCTGCCACGAAAACTGCATTGTTGTCATATTTCGTAATACGCTGAAGCAACGACAGCACGAAAGTGATGGGGCCAGGGCGTGGGGGGCCAGGGGCGGTTTTAGAGGCAGCGGCAGGTCACAGCGAACAACCAAAAGGAAGCCAAATTGGAGAGCGTGAGCTGCTGCGGACCAGCGCTCACTTGATTTCGACATGCGCTTATCAGGCCAGCAAGAGAGAGAGTCCAGAGCGTAAAGGGCGAACAACTAGAAGAGCGCCAACGCAGCGGCGACTGTTGCTGCTGCTGCTCGCCGCACTGTGCTTGTATTAGTGAGCACCAAGTCAAAATGTCAAGTTGCTGCCGTTCGCTTGCTCTCGCTCTTTCTCTCTCTCTGTTTCAGTATTTATCTGCTCTGGGCCGACTGCGGCGTTTTAGCACTTTGGTTGGTTTTGCTGGCCGCCAAGCCAATTCAAACGCTCATTCCATTTCATCCGCTCGTCCGCGTCCGTCAACATCCCACTTAACGTTTTTTTTTTCATTTCGGTTTCTAGCGCACACGAAGGCTGCGACTCGGCTTTACACAAACACACAGACACAGTATTCACTCACACACACACACACACACAGAGCCATTTATCACATTTGAAAGCCGCCATTACAAAAACACGAAACGGGAGCAGAGCGTAGACGACGATATTATTATCCACCCAGCGGCGACGACATCGATACCAACACCAGCAAACGTCGTAAAACAGGCGCGCGTGTTCGTCGTCGTGGCAGCCCCTCGAAACCCACAAACAGACAAACACACACACGCTCATTTCTACTGTACACACACACGCATACTAAGGCCCAGTACCATCGGCTCCAACCAACTCTTCCGCCCAACCGTCGCTTCTCTCCTAACCGACAGCCCAATTCTGCCGCCCTGTCCGCTCACAGTTCGGTTTTTCGTGATCGTGCTCTCGTTCGTGCCCGACGTCGCGACGCTGGCAGCGGCAGCGACAGCAACAGCAACAAATATTAACATTCAGGGACAACGACAACACGGCGACGGCGTCTGCGTCGACATCCCTACGTTTCAGTTCTGATTGGAGATTCGTGCGCCGCCGTTGCTTGCACGCGGCAATTGCTCAGCTCAGCTGTGAACTGTGTATTGAGTTATTTTCAATTCCGTTTTCAACCTATTCACACTGTTGCAACTCTTGCTTGACTCTGCCTTTTTGCAATAACAAAAGAATAACGAAGAATAATACGATAAAGAATAACGGCGAATAGAAGAAAACCAAAATCTGAAACAGTGCCTCAAGTGTTTGTGCTTACAGTTATTTTAGCAAAAAAAAAAAAAACAAAATAAACTTTCCAACCCAACAACAAATAAGAGACAGTCAGGAGCGGATAACAAAAGCTGTCAAGAAACGGTAAGTTCACAGATGAAAAATGCAACAAACATTTACATATATATAGACATAAATTACACATGTATTTATGTATGTATGCAGGTTGGTGTGTTTGTTTGTATTTGTATTTGCAAATGAATGAATATGTTACAGTAAAAACGTCAGCAACATGTTGCGACCTAACGAAATTTTTCGCCCTCTCTCCACTGCTCCCTCCACTTTTTTCCTTTTCATGCGATCTAGCTAGGAACAGGTCACCAACTTGTGGATCGCTGACTTATTTTGTGTTTCCTAGAATTTCTACAGGCACTCGCCTACTTGCATTTCGAATTGAACTTATAAAAACGAAATCTTTGTGTGATATTGTGAACATATGATATTTGATATATGATATGTAACTTCAATTATCTATAAACTTTTCGCAACTTTTTGAAAAACAAATTTATGAATTACAACAAGAGAAAAGTAAACAAATAGAAAGGAAAGTAAAAAATAAATTATTTATAGTGTAAATAGTTTAACTTTATGTTAATGACACTTGAGATAATTCTGGCTAATAAATATTGCCTACTATATATTTAAATTCTAGGGAACTTTTTGAATTTCAGTTTATCACCTATAGTTTAAAAATATATGGTCTTTTATTAATATTAAACTATATATTTATGAATACATGAGTTTTTTAGTAATATAATGAATTTTGGATACTTTCATACATATTTAAAACGTTTTTAATATTTTAATACATTTTTGTATTCCACCTATACCTTATTACATTTTCCTTAAAATTAAAATAAAGCTAAAATCTAATATATTTATCATTTATTTACCAAAATCAGATTTCTATCGTAGTTCAAATTTTTCAATTAGAAATACATTTATATATATATATATATTCATAAAGTTGCTCAGTTGTCTCATAAAATGGAACATTAATATTATTATCCAAGCCTCATTTTATGCATCCATTTCAATGCACAGTGAAGGCAGTCGGGCATATTGTATCTCATACTGCTAAACAAGTATCCGTACATACAATATGGATAGAAAGATACATAGATATATAGATACAAATTGGATTGTTGTTGTTGCTATTCGGTTTTGCTTCAGTGATCTTTGTCATTTTCCGTCTCCCATTTCCTTTTTGTTTTCCAATTCGCCACTGCACAAAAAACCCAAACAACGATCAAAATCGGATCCGAATCGGATCGCATCGGATCGCAATTCCCAGCCCCATTCGTCAATCGTCAACAGTCAGCTAGGCCGCACCCCTTTGTGCTACAAAAAAACAGAAGTGGAGCAGGGGGAAGGGGGCCTCTATTAGTAGATCCCCAATCCGCGTGCAGTAGCTGGCTGACACATTCCATTGCCTGGGCCTGTGAGTCCATGTTTATAGGCAATAGCAGAAACAATTAGATCAGACAAGTGACTGGCTATGCAATACCCTGTACGTAGCTGCTGTGTACTAAGCACAACTGTAGTAATCTCTTCAGTTCAACAGACATAAGCTCTGAGATATATTTAAGCTATGCTACAAATTTCATTAAAAATTATTAACCTGTTCACTAGCAGTGCTGGCATACTTCAAATATATACAGGGTATACAAGCAACAGAAACGCGTAATTTCTGAATGAACTAAGCGAATGTATGCGAGTGTGTGTGTGACTGAGCGAGCAGGCGAACTATGCGTTGAGCAGCATAAATATATGCATGCGTATATGCATAGATCTACAGCTCTCTCACTCTCTCCTTCTACCTCTCGCACGCGCGCTCACTGTGCAATGAAAGCTCCTATTGCAGTTCCCAGCAGCAGCAGCAGCGACGCCGTTGTCACTTCCGCTGCGGCGTCATGGCAACCCTGGCGCACGACTAGATACAACACCTGTGCGGACCACACACACACATGCAGCGGCACCAAATACAAATTATGCAAATCACATTAAAGTTGTAGAAAAAAATACAAATCCCAATCTCCAATCTCCAGTTGCTTTTTGTCAGCTTAACCCACTTCACACCAACAGGCACACACACAATCACATAATGTTTCAATGTGTGTATGCAGTGTGCGCTAAGGAAACCAACTCAAACAACAACAATAACCGCACAACTAATCACACATAAATATTGCTGTTGTTTTGTTAATGAAACAGAGCAGCAGTAGCAGCAAAAACAATAATAGCGTCGTATGCTCTCTTTTCCGCTCTCAGTGTCTCTTACAGAGCTTTTTAGTAGCGCACACTTTGCGCTCAGCACACGCGCAACAAAAAAATTGTTCTCAAATTATAACTGTTGTTCAGCCGGCGATCGCGAGCAATTAAAAAGAGCGCATAGCACAGACGCGCCAAGATGACTAACACTTTTTAACGTTTGAGACTGCTTTGCTGCCTATTGCACAAAAAAAAAAAAAAACAAAAACAGAATAAAAACAAAAACATGAATGGCAAGTGTAAACTAACACAAAAGCCGCCCACACATACAATGACAGTTGTTCTATTCTCCTGAAAACTGCTCTACTCTTGCGCTCTTGGTCCTTTTGCTACCACAGGGACTTTTTATTGAGTACGATTTCCTGTACATACACGCACACACACACAGATTTTTCTCTCCTGGCAAATCCTACTCTTGTGCTCTGGTACATTTTCTTTTCTTTCTAGTTACTGCAGCCACTTTTTTGTTTGACTATAATTTCCTGTATTTATTTATATATAAAATATATATGTATATTATTCATGTGTCACACATCACGGCTCCCAATTTCTGTTTTTCCTTTAGTTATTGTTTTTTTTTTATTTCAGGCGACGCAGCTGTAAAGCTCCTACCTAAAGAAATTCACTCAAAAGAGCAAAAAATTCCCAAAAATAAGAACAACAAATTATTGACAATGCGCTTTGCCATTCGCTGCTGCTCGTTTCTTCTTCTTTTTCTTTTTTCTTTTGCCTTCGGCTGAATTCTTTAGTTACTTTAGCATTGTTGTTGCTGAATGCGCTTCTGATTTTTATCACTTGACGTGCTGCGCTTTTATCTCAGGCAGCGCATCATACGCAGTCACACACAGGCATAAGTATGATTTTTTAAAGGTTTTATGCAATTGTTTCAGCGCGATATTAGCCCTCAAACTTAACTGTTGCTCAACAGCAGCTCGCAACAAGGAAAAGCAACAACAACAAGTTCAGCAGCAACAGCAGCAGCAGCGGAATTTAAAAAGTGGAACACAAAAAAAAAATACAGTCCAAAAGCAGGCAAAATAAAAGAAAAGGTCAGTGACCAAAATATGTTTTGCAATTGAGCAAAAACAACAACACCACAAGTAAAGCTTACAGCTGAAAAGAATGTAGCAAAAAGCAAGCGAAGTGATAGCAACATTTTCGAATTTCTAAAAATTTTTCGCTGCCTCTTCGCTTTTTCTCTTTTTGGGCAAAGGAAGTGGGCCAAAAGTTATCAGAAAAAAATGTGCAACGTCTGCCGAAAGGATTTCGACATGCTAGTGTCCAAAGCTTAAGCTCACAGCAAACAAAAGCGACAAAGACAGAGAGAGAGTGTGAGGGAGAGAGAGAGAAAGTGCATGAGTTTCGCACATCCGTCTGCAGCCTATTTGTTTTGTAAGCGCTTTAATTCAATTAACGCCGCCGACGTCGCAGCCAGCGCAGCTCAATGTCCAATGTCCGCGTCAAGTATTCGCCCAGTTGTGGCCAGGCGAAAAATCGTTTCCTATTTTGCATGCGATTGGTTAAAGCAACGGCGAAAAACACTGAGGACTTATGCATGTGTGTGCCTGAGCAGAAAAAGGCAACATCAGCAAAAATAAACATTCACACAGACACACACACGTATAAAAATAAGCAGCTACGAAATGCAAATGAAATGTAATTGAAAGCGTCGCTGTCGCTGTCGCTGCCGCTGCCGATGCTACCCTTAAGCTCTGGCCAGGGGACATTGTCCGTTTATGGAACACTGACAGCTGAGTAGGTGGAGGTAGGGGGCGAGCCGTTCACAGTGGTTGACAAACGTAATGTCAATTAGGATGCTTGACTATTTTGGTATTCATGCCGAGCAAAGCATATGTGTGACACTGTGCAACACGCACAAAGCAAAGAGCACATGACAATAAGCAAAAGCTGTTTGTTGTATATTTAATCCTCTCAAAGAGGATTTTTAACGCTGCGTCGCTGCCTCGCTGCCTTTTGCACACGACACCAATACACATGCCTACACACACTCACACGCAGAGACTGCCAGGTAGACAAACTGAATAGCAACTGAAAGCAAATATATTTTTCCTCGGTCATCAAGGAGCGCGCACAAGAGGAAAGTACCTCAAAAGCACTCAGCGCAAATATCCCAACACAGGCGCAGGCACCAATACAAACATATACACATGTACACACTCATATGCACGCACAGTGCGCGATAAGCTTAATTGAGTGCGCAACTGTTGCTCCGCCTGTGGCTGCAGCTAAGGTGGAGCAGAGCAGCGAACAGCAGGCATACACAATTTTATCAAGGGGCCAAACGTCGACAGCACACAAACATACAACATACAAGCATAGTGCACACACACTTAAGCAATCGCGCCAGGAGAGCAATAAGGAGAATACAAAAATATATGCACGCAGGCAGCGAGAACGCAGCGACACGACGTCGTCAATTCGCCCCCAGCGCCAACCCCAGCGCACGAAGAGAAAGCAGCGAACGCTGCGGCGGTGCTGGTGCTGCGTGCTTTTATTTCAATAGTCGCTGTCTCTGCTGTTTCTTTTGTTTGCTGTTGTTGTTGTTGCCGCCGTGCCGTACGATCCTCATGTTCGCCGCGTTCGCTTCGTTCACAGATGGGCGGTGCGGGTGGATATGCAGGCGGCATATATTAAAATTCTTTGTGTGTATGTGTGTCTTTGCAGTTACACATCTGTTTGCTTTCCCGAGGATTTCTTGCTGGACGCAGTATTTGGGTCAGATTTTTTAAAAATATACATTTCTAATTGCCATGCATAACGCAAGGAAGCAACACACACATACAGTCATTAAA